GCCCATGGGTCTCTAAAATCCTTGTCAAGAGCTGGTCCCCAGACCTACGCAAGACAATTTCAAGCCCAATGTGCGGCCTCCAAGGAACCGAAATGACAGGCCTAATATCGGCAACGAAAGGTAGTGCTGACTGACTGCACATAAGGTAATCAATGACCGAGCCCGAGCCAAGATTACATGTCGCAACCCCTTTTGCCTGCAACACTACAGCGCGCAACCGATTGACAATGCCTGACCTCTCGAGCTGCTGAGGAGTCATATTGAAGTCCCCTGCGACAATCCAAGGGAGCTGGAGAGACCAAAGGAGCCCCGCCAATCTCTGAAATCTGCCTAGGTTGGCTCCTCGGAGCCCTAGACAACTGTGCGCATAAAAGCTGAGCATAATCATACTGAAGCCAGAAAATGGACGACTGTGGCGATGAAGCCATCAAAGCAAGACGGGTGGAGCGGCGCAGACAATCTACTCACAGCAAGCCAGGCGGCTGGAAGTCGATGCGTCTGCAAGTGCCCCTTTGACATGAACCACTCGCCGCCCTCATTGGAGTGCTCCATCAGTGTTTCCCTCTTGGTACCGACAGCAGCCGTCGCCTTCGACGAAGGCCTCGCAGGATTGGTGAACAGCCTCAGGCCCTTACCCCGAGCCTTGGCATCATATTGACGAAGAGTCTTGGCGTCGTGGACGCGACACTCAACCACACTGATGAGGCCGAACGACTTGGACACAAGCCAATTCCAGCACTTCTCCCCCATGCACGTGACGTTAGCATAGAACCAGCGGCTATGCTCCCCTGCCGCCCCTTCGAGCGGCTCCGATGCCCTCGGCGCAACACCAGATAGTCCAGAGCTGGCGTCGCTCGTGGGGGCGGCGAAGCCCTTGCCGTCGCTCTTGCCATTCAACTTCTGCGCCTCCGCGATGAACTTGGCCTCGGACAGCCGCTTGGCCTCGTCCGCGATCTGCTTCTCCTTCACTGCTTGGGCCTCCTTGACCTTGGCCTCGGATGCGGCGGCGTCAGCGCCTGCAGCGGCAGCCCCGCCATGCGAGACTCCTCCTGGGGAGCCTGCTGCCGCTGCCTTGGGCTGTTGAGCGCCGTCGCCGCCCTCGCCACCCGCCATGGCCTGGCCGTCGGCCCCACGCCTCTTCTTGAGGAGGCGTTGCTCAATGTCCTTCTTCACTGTCTCCATCTGCTCGAGCCATGCCGTGACCTCGGCCTCCTTGGAGGCCATGGCGCCCCGCGTGGCCTCCAGGTTCTTCTTGAGGCCACGCAAGGCCTCGCGCTCGTGCTCCTCACACTCCATGTTCTCGATCTGGTCGAAGAACTTGCTATCCCAGCTGATGTGGAAGATGGGCTTGTCGGCGGCTGGCCCGTCGGCCGCAGGCGTCACAGAGATGGTCTCAACGCCCTCGGCGTGCGCCACCGCCTGTGCTGCTGCCTTGCGGGCCATTGTGGCCTCCGCCACAGCCCGAGCCGCCACCGTCTCCTTCTCCTCAGCCACCGCGAGCTGCTTCCGCAGCCGCAGCACATGTGAAACTTGTTGCGAATGACGATGCTCCGCATCTTTGCATACCCAAGAGCTCGACGAAGTGCTTCCACGAGGGACGGCTCGTTCTTGGGCTTGGCCTCTGCAGCAAGTCTGTCCACCTGCTTGCGCAGGCAGCCGATGAGCTCCTGGTCCTCCGTCGCCTTCAGCGCCTGGTCCAGGATGGCTGCAACGTCCGCACCTGCACCGCCGTGGCCGCCCTTGTTGCTGCCGCGGCCCTTGCCACTGCCCCACTTGGTCCCTCGCGGGACCACGAGCTCCTCCTCGCTGTCCGACACGTCGAAGGTGACTCGTCGAGTTTTGTACAAGGGAACACGAGAGCCACAGCCACGGCAGGCGCATCCTGCCTTGGTCAGCTCGGCGTTGTACTCGCACACCCCGCAGTCGGGGCACCTGCTCCACGGGCCCCGACTCCTCCGTGGGACGGAGGATCCCCGTGCCATTGCTTTTCCCCTGCTTTGGTCGAGATCTGGCGCTATTGTTCGAAAGGTGGTGCGCGCCCAAATCTAGTCACTCAAGTGCCTCGGTGCGGCACAGGGGAAGGAGGCCAAAACAAAATGACTTGACCCCCAATACTTGAGAGGAGGAGGAGGAGGAGGAGGAGGAGGAGGAGGACGGGCCGCCTAAGCCCTTCGGGGAAACCCTCCAGCCTGCGGAGGGCCCCTGCGAGGCCGAAAGGCAGCCAAGAGCCTTCTGGTGTGCGATCTCGACCCCGGCGAGCGGAGGCCTGGGGAAACAGAGGGGCGGCGAGCTGCAGCGAGAGAGGTATCGGGGGCGTGCAAGAGGGGGACATCCAAGAGAGGGAGGAGGAAGAGGAGGAGGAGGAGGACAAGGAGGAGGAGGAAAAGGAGGAGGAGGAGGAGGAGGAGGAGGAGGAGGAGGAGGAGGAGAGGAGGAGGAGGAGGAGGAGGAGTGAGGAAGAGGGAGGAAGGAGGAGGAGGAGGAGAGGAGGAGGAGGAGGAGGAGGAAGAGAGAGGAGGAGGAGGAGGAGGAGGAGAGGAAGGGGGGGAAGGAGGAGGACAGGACGAGACAAGGGGAGGAGGAGGACGAGAAGAGAAGGAGGAGGGGGAGGGGGAGGAGGAGAAGGAGGAGGGAGGAGGAGGTGCAGGAGGAGGAGGAGAAGGGAGAGGAGGAGGAGAAGGAAGAGGGAGGAGGAGGAGGAGGCGGAGGAGAAGGAGGAGGGGGAGGACGAGGAGGAGAGGAGGAGAGGAGGAGGAGGAGGAGGAGGAGGGGGAGGATGAGGAGGAGGAGGAGGAGGAGGAGGAGGAGGAGGAGGAGGAGGAGGAGAGGAGGAGGGGGAGGAGGAGGAGGAGGAGGAGGAGGAGGAGGAGGAGGAGGAGGGAGGAGGAGAAGGAGGAGGAGGAGGGAGGAGAGGAGGGAGGGGAGAGGAGGAGGAGGAGGGGGAGGAGGAGGAGAGGGAGGAGGAGGGAGGAGGAGGACGAAGGAGGACGAGGAGGACGAGGAGGAGAAGGAGGAGAAGGAGGAGGAGGAGGAAAAGGACGAGGAGAGCAGGAGGAAGAGGAGGAGGAGGAGGAGAAGGAGAAGGGGGGGAGGAGGAGAAGGACGAGGAGGAGGAGGAGGAGGAGGAGGAGGAGGAGGTAGAAGAGGAGGAGAGGAGGAGGAGGAGGAGGAGGAGGAGGAGGAGAGGAGGGGGGGAGAGATGAGGAGGAGGAGAAGGACGAGGAGGAGGAGGAGGAGGAGGAGGAGGAGGGGGAGGAGAAGGAGGAGAAGGGGGAGGAGGAGAAGGAGAGGAGGGAGGAGGAGGAGGAGGAGGAGGAGGAAGAGAGGGGTGGCGAGCCGAGCGAGAGAAGATCGTGGGCGGCCAAGAGGGGGGCGCTCAAGAGGGGGGGTGCAAATCATTAGAAGGCAAAACCTCCACCCCCACAATAACCAACCCGACAAGCGAGGCCGTTTATTAAACGCACCCAGAGGTGCAGTCGAGCAGGGCAAGGCTGTTTAGTAAACGCCCAAGGCCGTTTAGTAAACACGAATTATCAGGTCCGGGTGGTCTTTCCTCTCTTGAATCATGGCCAGCGGCATGTGCGCGGCCCAGGGGGGGGGGAGCCAGGGACGCAATGAGATAAGAAGAGGCGCCATGAAATCTGAGGAGATACCGTGGCCCACGCCACGATCTCCACCCCCCCTACCCCCCAAAAAAATGATCCCAGTGCGACCCTACTTAGGAGTTGGAGCCTCTAGGACACACATGTATATATATATATATATATATATATATATATATATATATGTACATATATATATAAATATATATATATATGCGCACACACACACATATATAAATGTGTATATATATAGCAGCAGCAATAGTGGATGCTGTGCTGCGCTATGCTATGCTATACAATGCTGCGCACTGCTGTGCTGGGCTAGGCTAGGCTAGGCTAGGCTATGCTATGTTATGCTATGCTATGCTGCGCTATGCTATGTTGCGCTATGCTATGCTATGCTATGCTATGCTATGCTATGCTGTGCTATGCTGTGCTATGCTGTTGCTTTGCCTTCGCTTTTGCCTTCACTTTTGCATTTGCTTTTGCTTGGCACCCAGGGAGCGCAACTGGGGGAACCGCGCGTTTGCTTTTACCTTTGCTGTTGCTTTTGCTTGGCTCCCAGGGGACCGGGGGAACCGCCCGGGGCGGGTTCCACTGCCCGGCCCTTTAAGCCAAGCGAGTCAGAACCCTTCTAGGCAGAGCCTAGGTAGGGAATCAGTCCTAAAGGGGGGGATAGCAAAGGGGGGGTGAGAATCAGCTCACGTAGCTGATTTTCCCGGCGCCTCCCGGCGCCGGAGGCGGCTATGTATCGAGGAATGGGCCCCTCGGTGCCAATCCCCACCTTTCGTCCGGCCCGAGATGCCCAGACATTAGAGGCCTCCTTCGTGAGGTCGGAGTGGGTGAGGTCGGAGCGCGCCGCATCGCCGACGCATCGGCGACGCATCGGCGATGCATCGGTGATGCATCCTCGACGTCGGCGATGCATCGGCGACGTCGCCGTGAAGCAAATCGGGCCCCACGTCGAACCGCATCGGCGATGCATCGCCGATGCGGCACGAACATCCGACCCCATGTACTCCGACCCCGTCCTAGGAGGCCTAGAGACATACTAGACGCAGGGGGAAAGCCTGCGTTTTTCTTCTTTGGGTGACCCGAAAGGGGGTTCAGCCGAAAGGGGGTGGTGTAATAGATTTGGGGCAATCGTATTGCAAATGCACTGCGCCGGAGAACTGTATATTGCCTTGTCCTGCAAGTGATGCATCGCACGCGAGGTACACCGGCGCCCCGAAACGTGCTGCATCGGCGAAGCATCCCCCGAGGAGAAGCAGGAGGAGGAGGAGGGGGAGGAGGAGCAGGAAGAGGAGGAGGAGGAAGAGAAGAGGAGGAGGAGGAGGAGGAGGAGGAGCTGGGCCCTGGGCCCCCCCGAGGCGCCCCCGCCGCCGCGCGCCGAGGCTCCTTGTCGAACTTCTTGCCCAGCAGCTTCATCGGCCGCGGGCGCGCGGGGGGGCCTCGCCCGGCCGCGGGGCGCCGCCGCGCCGCCCCCGCGAGGTGCGGGGCGGCGCCGGCAGAGCGGCGGGCCGCCCTCGGCCGGGGGGCCTTTTGACCCGTCGATGCTCCAGCCTCGACCCTGGATGCTCGTGTCCCCAGACAGGATCGCGTCGGAAAAAAAAAATCGGGGCGGGAGGTCTCTGGCCATGCTCGGGCCCGGGGGGCCCTCGCCGGGCCTCGGGGGCGTGGAGAAACGCCTCGGGACGAAAGACCAGTCCCGGGGAAGGGGTCGGGACTTCCAGGGGCGCCGTCCTGAAAAGATCAGGACGTCGCATGTCTGGGTCTCGATCCTCGCTCCTCCTCGATCCTCGAATTTGATCCTCTCGCGGACACGAAGAGGGCGGCTCGCGGATCAGCTCCCGCAGCTGGCCTCTCTGGCGCCACCGGCCGGCAGGGGCGCCAGGTCCATCTGGACCCGGGTCAGTCAAGCCTTGCAGAATCCTGTCCTGCAAGATCCTGCGCCCAAACCAGGGTCAACGCGAAGAATCCTGCAAAATCCAGCAGGCTGCTGCACCCAAACCCGGGTCAATGCTACCCTGGCCCTGCAGGATCCTGCAAGATCTGGCGCTCTGGCTGACCCCCGTTTGCATTGATCCCCGTCTCAAGACTCCCGACTCGGCCTCGGGGGGCCCTCGCTGGGCCCCAGCACCGCCCAGACACGACTCGGGATGGAGGCCCCGTCTCGGGTCGGGCAGGTCCTCCTACATAGAGGTCAAAAAATCCATCCCCACAATAACCAGCCCGACACGCGAAGTCGTTCAGTGAACGCGCCCAAAGAAGGAATCGAACAGGGCAGGGCGGTTTAGTAAACGCCCAGGGCCGTTTAGTAAACGCCAATTGTCCGGTCCGAATGATTTTTCCTCCCTTGCCTACAGGCGGGTGTCAGAAGAATAATTCAGGCGTTGGCAGAACTGGGTTTGGTGGGACCTGGTTTAGGGATTTGTGCTGGGGGAGGCCCCCCCCGCCCCATTCCACTAACCAGAACTGCCGTCACCGGAAAAAGCACCAGCTACGCCAGACCTGGTTTAGCGATTCCGGCCAATGTAGGGGCTCTGGGGCCCTACCACTGACTGGATCCCCTTACTTGGGGTCCTGGCTATACCCGAAGAATGAAGGATACTCAAAAAGATCCAAAAATAGTCCAGACATAATCGAAAAACGTCACCAAACCATTCTTCTGACTAATCTTGAATATGTTCCGCCTGTAGGGGGACAAGCCCGACTCAAACCCATTCCCGGGAAGGGGTCCAGGCCTCTGGCAGCCAGCGTTGCGAAGAGAACACTACGATATCTGGCCTCCCTTCCCTCCGACGGACCCACATATCTACCTAACAGCTCTTGCTGATAGGTTTCTAGTGGTCTCAAAAGAGAGCATCATGACTCCTCAGGGGGGTCTGGGCGGGTGCCGGGGAGGAGAACCGGGAACAGAACCGGGAACAGAGCCGGGCTCGCTTTTCGCCAACAGTCACACACTTCGTGCTCTTCGACCTCCCAGAACTCCATTCCCGGGCCACATTCTGGATAACCGGAGCCAACTGTAGGCCACTTCGTGCTCTTCGACTTCCCAGAACTCCATTCCCGGGCCACATTTTGGATGCCCGGAGCCAACTGTAGGCCACTTCGTGCTCTTCGACTTCCCAGAACTCCATTCCCGGGCCACATTTTGGATGCCCGGAGCCAACTGTAGGCCACTTCGTGCTCTTCGATTTCCCAGAACTCCATTCCCGGGCCACATTTTGGATGCCCGGAGCCAACTGTAGGCCACTTCGTGGTCTTCAGTTCCCAGAACTCCATTCCTGGGCAAGATTTTGAATGCCCGGAGCCAACTGTAGGCCACTTCGTGTTCTTCGAGTTCCCAGAACTCCATTCCCGGGCCACATTTTGAATGCTGAGACAGGCTGAGGCTGAGGCTGAAGCAGGCTGAGGCTGAGGCAGGCTGAGGCTGAGGCCGAGGCTGAAGGCAGACTGAGGCTGAGGCTGAAGCAGACTGAGGCTGAGGCTGAGGCAGGCTGAGGCTGAGGCTGAGGCAGGCTGATGCTGAGGCAGGCTGAGGCTGAGGCTGAGGCTGAGGCTGCAGGCTGAGGCTGAGGCAGGCTGAGGCTGAGGCCAGGCTGAAGGCAGACTGAGGCTGAGGCTGAAGCAGACTGAGGCTGAGGCTGAGGCAGGCTGAGGCTGAGGCTGAAGCAGGCTGATGCTGAGGCAGGCTGAGGCTGAGGCTGAGGCTGATGCAGGCTGAGGCTGAGGCAGGCTGAGGCTGAGGCCGAGGCTGAAGGCAGACTGAGGCTGAGGCTGAAGCAGGCTGAGGCTGAGGCTGAGGCAGGCTGAGGCAGGCTGAGGCTGAGGCTGAGGCAGGCTGATGCTGAGGCAGGCTGAGGCTGAGGCTGAGGCTGATGCAGGCTGAGGCTGAGGCAGGCTGAGGCTGAGGCCGAGGCTGAAGGCAGACTGAGGCTGAGGCTGAAGCAGGCTGAGGCTGAGGCTGAGGCAGGCTGAGGCTGAGGCTGAGGCTGAGGCTGAGGCTGAGGCAGGCTGAGGCTGAGGCTGGGCTGAGGCTGCGAGGCTGAGGCTGAGGCCGAGGCTGAAGGAGGCTGTGACAAGTGAGGCAGGCTGAGCTGAGGTGAGGCAGGCTGAGGCTGAGGCTGTGACTGCGACTGCCGTTGCCACTCGACTGTCATCGCGAATGCGACTACGACTACAAGAACAGCAGAATTCTACAACTGGATTCTCATCCGAATCTTAAGGGGAATGCTTCCAGATATGCTCCTACACATCGCTGTTAGGTTGCTTTGCCGGGATAATTTTCTCAACGCTGGTCCCCCTGGATCTTGACGTCGAGAAACAAGTACAACTCGGTCCTCGAGAAGGAAGGGGGAGGGTGGACTGGGCCAGGCCGCAGGGTACTGATCGCGCTCCACCGCAAAGACAGTCAGTATCCACATCCACAGACTCGGCGTCGTGCCCTCGGACCTGACGGGTATCCACAGCTCGGGCTGGTCGGCTGCGTCGCGGTCGGCTGCGTTCGGTGAGGTCGGTTGCTGTGTCGCGGCCTGTCGGCTTCGGTGTCGCCGCCGATTCGATGTGCCTTCGGTTGTGCTATCGCCCGGGGACAGGCTTGTCGACCACCACCACTGAGCCGCATCCTCAGCCCAGACTTGAAATGACAGTCCAGGGGCTCCGCTCAAGCCTCTGAGATACCCTGATTCAGGAAGAGACCGCCGTCGCGGTCTGTTCGCGAGGCCAGGATACACCGGGACCCAGGACAGCAGAAGATCCTCCGAGAACATGAGACCCTCCGCCAGCCAAAACGCCCAAAACCAGGTCGGGAGCGGCCAAGAGGGGGGCGTCCAAGAGGGGGGGGTGCAAATCATGACCGGCGGCGCGTGCGCGGCCCAGCGGGGGGGGCAGAGACGTAATGAAATGAGAAGAGGCGGCATGAAATCTGTGAAAATATCATGACCCCCGCCATGATTTCCAACCCCCCCTAGTCGTCACCCCCCTCTTTTCCACCCCCAAGGCCACTCGAAGGCAACCCTCCCCCGGGATCCGCAGGAGCACCCAACGAACACGAAGAGGACGAGGGCCCCCGCCCAAAAACCGACCTCGGCCCTACACCTCGGACCGACTGCACGAGGGCCACCCCCCCGAGCCCTCCGAATCGACACCGACCCCGCACCACCTCTCCCGGGGCCTGCGCCCCTTTGGACGGCCGAAATGGATACGGAAAGAATAGGTACAGTGCCCAACAACAAGTGCTGTCCCAAACCAGCAGCCGCCGCTGTTGGGCAGGCGGCCTCCTGTGTCGAGTGGACGGCGAGTCCCGTTCGAAATGAGCACGATCCACTGCTGGGCATTGCACCCCTTCTCCCCGTGCCCACCTCGCTCGTGCAGGGGCCCCGGCCGGGCTCCCCCCGAGGCGGGCCCGGCCGTGGCCGCGGCGGCGCCCCAGAGGCCCCAGGGCGCTCCAGGGAGTCGACCTCCTCGATCCTCCATCCTCCTCCCGCCCCAGTTGACTACCTACCAGACCACCCCAACCCAACCCGAAGACCCGAATTTCGGGCTGGGGGGGGTACGGGTTCCATATGTGTTTTCTCCATGTTCCCTCGATCCTCCATCCTCCATCCTCCGTCCTCGTCTCCTCGATCCTCCATCCTCCGTCCTCGTCTCCTCGATCTCCTCGCTCTCCTCGATCTCCTCGATCCTCCATCCTACGTCGATCTCCTCGATCTCCTCGATCTCCTCGATCCTCCGTCCTCCGTCGATCTCCTCGATCTCCTCGATCTCCTCGCTCTCCTCGATCAGTCGGACCCGGGCCCGACGCTGCCCCGGAGACGGGCTCTCAGGGGTCGCCCGAGCCCCGATCGGCACGGAGCGGGCGAGCGGGCGAGCGGGGGGGGCCGATGCTCCCCCCCCGCCGGGACAGAAGGGGCCCCACACAAATCAATACACACAAATAGAATGGTTCCCCATACTTTCCTATGTTTTCTTGGTTTTGGTCTTCGCCCCCACTTCCCATATTTTCCTATATTTCCCTGGGAATCGACGATTAATTGTGCCTGTGTGTTTTTCCCCCCCGCCGGGACAGTGCCCCCGCTCGCGAGGCAGAGAAGCCGACAGAAACATCAGCATGCACTTTCGGAAGTCGGCGCGTCTTCCTCAGCTCGGCGCCAGGAGCGGCGCCAGAGGCACCGCAGGGGGGGCCCAACGCAAATCCAACACATCCGCGCGGACCTAAAAAGATGTACGGTGGGACCTAGGCCAGAAGAACATCCCTCAAGAACGCGAGAGCCTCCGGCGACCAAAACACGCGGAACATCCATCCAAGGGTACCCTCCCCAGGAGGCACGAAGTACACTAGGGTAGCCTCTCCGAACCGACCTCGATCTTGTGCCTCGGTCCGACTGTAGCAAAGAAAAGCCGGCATCACCACGATCGGGAGGAACCAGGGAGGGGGTCCCACTAGTGGTGCGGTCCCCCTTTCCTGCGGCGTCCCGCTCGAGGCGCCTTCTGTCTGCAGGTTCGGGATGCATCGCGCACATCCTCGCTGGACGTGGCCGGCTGGTGGTCGTTTCGCATATCCCCCGACTTCCGACGGACGCGAGTCTTCACTCCGACGGCCCTAAGAGGGTCTCGACATCTTTCCTGATGGCAGCTGTTCGTCCTGGATCAAACTACTTTTGATGGTCCGGGGGTCCGACAGAACAGCCCTTGAAAGCCGAGCCATGCAAGAACGCGGGGATTGGTGGTGCCGCTTGCCCTTGGGAGGTCCGAAACGGCATGGTGACACACTATACGATGACCCACACGAAAGACCTCACCGCACGGTGCGTCACCGCACGGCTGTGGGAACGTGGAGGCCCCAGTCGCCCGAGACATCCTCGGAGAATTACCAAATCCAAAATTCGTGCGCACCCCAGACCCCCGACGTCGTGTTTTTTCACAACGTCGCCCCCATAAGTCTGGACCCCTTCCCGGGGTCCGGTTTTTCACCCCGTGTCGTTCTTTGACAGGGCCCAGGGCCTGGCAAGGGCCCTGGAGGCAGAAAATGGCGAAAACCCCCGGAGGCCGAAAATTGGTGGCACCATCCCCGAACCCACCCCGATCATACCTCGGTTCGACCGCATGCTCGTGCCATCTTCTCTTCCCCTCGGGGGCTGCCAAAAGGGGGGGCGTCCAGGAGGGGGGGGCGCAGATCATGGCCGGCGGCCATGTGCGCAGGCCATGCGGGGGCCGAGGACGTCTTGAAATAAGAGGAGTCGCCGTGAGATCTGGGGAGATTTCACGGCCCCCGCCAGGATTGTATTGAAATAAGAGGAGGAGGCGTGAAATCTGGGGAGATCTCATGGCCCCTGCCATGACAACCCACCCCCAATCAGCCCCCTCTGGCCCAAAAAAAACACACTCCAAATCTCAAAATCGCGGATCCACCGAAGACCAGAACATCGGCCAAAGCTTTCGGGGCATGGCCTGCGTTCGTCACTGCCCCCCCAGGCAGAACCCGACCCCGAAGTCTCCCTCCCCGAAGCCTCGAGCAGCCTGCGCTCTATGCTGGCCCTCGCACTCTCAGGGTTGGGCGCCTATTTTGAGCTGGTGACCCTCTTCGCCGCCCCCGATCCTCGACTCTCGGCGCCCCTGGCCGGTCTCCCGTGGCAGTCTCTGCCCGTGCCGTCTTCTCTGGCCCGACTGCCTGCTCGTGCCGTCTTCTCTACAGCCACCCCGCAGTAAGGATGCAAGGGTCAAGTCGAGCGTGTCCCCCTACAGGGGAATGTTCGACGAAATCTATATATGCTTTTTATTAGTATAATATATATATATATATATGATATAAACGCCCCCGAAAAAGCCCAAAAATATTCAAACAATAGTCCCTGTAGAGGGACAGGCCCGACTCAATGCAAGGGTTATGTTGCCCCCATCGAACTGAAGGAACACATCCCAGAAATATTGTCGAGCACCTGGAGAAGTGTCGAAACAATGTCGAAACGGTGTCGAGCGAATATCTCCCAGGACCCAGCACGTGAAAACCGCCAAGTTTCGGTACTACTTGGTGCTTGAAGCCCTTCTTGGGGATCAAGGCTAAACCAGGTTGGAACATCATAATGCAAGGGCCTTGGAAGGTCATTTCAAGGCTTCTCGAGCGGGGCACGGCCAGCGAAAGTGGCTCAGGACGGGCCAAGGAGGCAGGGATGCAAGCGCACCCTTGGGAAGGCTGCCCATCCTTACTATGCGGGCCGACAATACCTCGACTCTCGGTGCCCCCTGGCCTAGGGGGACGAAGAACTACATAAACACGAAAACTCGGAGGTCCGCGCGGATTTCTCGGATCGGCGCTGACCCCCCTCCCTGGCGCGCGGAGCGCGCCAGGGGCGGCGCCGGAGGCGCCACCAAGGGGCCCCAGCGCGGATCCGAGAAGTCCGCGCGGACCTTCGAGTTGTCACGTTTATGTCATTCTTCGCTCCCCTATGACCAAGCGGGCCGACTGTACCTCGACGCTCGGTGTTAAAACAACACGGTCTCAGCCAGAAATGTTCTAAGAACATTTCGTGCAGACCACAAAAAAAGATTCTCAGAACATTATTTGGTGGGCTTTATAAGGAACCGAACTCTATATACACCGACGCTTCCTGCTGGCCCCGCACTGAAATTCGCACACGAAAGCGGCTCCCGGTGTATACGGGATCCTGGCGTATACATGTTTCCTTGTTTCCCTGGGAGAACGGGGAAACAAGTATACACCACACCACCCCGACGTCGTCCCTGACCCTCAAAAAGTCGTGGGATTAAAAAAACAGGCCGCCACTGGTAATTTTTGTATGTTCCAGCTTGCGACTTCGGGAGCGGCCAAGAAGGGGGTGTCCAAGAGAGGGGGTGCAAATCATGACTGGCAGCACGTGCGCGGCCCAGCGGGGGGGCCAGGGACGTAATGAAATAAGAAGAGGCGCCATGAAATCTGGGGAAATATCATGGCCCCCGCCATGATGTCCACCACCCCCTGGTCATCAACCCCCTCTTTTCCACCCCCGACGACTGTAAGCCAGCCGAGACCCGCTGCCACTGCTTGACTGGCCGGCCTCCAGGGGCGGCCGGGAGGCCCGGCCGGCCTCCGGCGCCCCAGGGGTCGAGAGCCACTCCCGGGGAGCCAGCTGTGTCACTCCGGCCACGGGTCTGGCGGCCCAGCGGTTGGATCGGGCATCACAGAAAGAAGCCAGGGCAGGAAGCATGAAGGAAGAACCAAGAAAGAAGAAGAGCCAAGCGTGGAAAAGAAGAAGAAGAAGAAGAAATGATGAACCGAGCACGAAAAAGAAGAAGAACCAAGCATGAAAAAAGAGCCAGGGAAGAATCAGGCGGATCTTAGGAGAAGAAGCTTGAAAAAGAGCCAAGAAAGATTCGAAGACATGGCCTCAGAACGCTACCCCGAAACCCTCCCGAAGCCCCTCGACCCTCGGCGCCCCATCCCCAGACATGCGACGCCCTGATTCTTTCGGGGCGGCGTCCCTGGAAGTCCCGACCCTTTCCCTGGGACCGGTTCGTCGTCCCGAGTCGTTCTTTGACGGCCCCGAGGCCCCGCGAGGGCCCCCTGGGGCCGAACATAGCCAAACACCTCCCGTCCTGGTCTTTTTACGACGCGATCATGTCCAGAGTGCTCACTATATGCAGGCCGACTGTACCTCGACTCTCTTCGGTGCCGGCCGGTTTCTGGGGGCAGCCTGGAGGCGAAGGGAGGAGGGATTTGGGTGACCCAAGAAGGGGTCCAGCTGAAAGGGGGTGGTGCAGTAGACTTGGGGCAATTGTATTGCAAATGCACTGCGCCAGAGAATTGTACTGCATTGTATTGCGCAAGTAGAATGCACTGCACGCGAAAATATAGCAATACCTGTTTGCGCCCCGGAATGTACTGCACGCCCCACATGTGCTGCAACCCCACAAATGTATTGAACCAAATCTATTGCACTACCCCGTTGTCGCTGGACACCCTTTTGGGTCAACCCCGGGAAAAAACCTCCACAATGCTTTTTGGCCAGCCGGGCCGCCAGGCACACACCGCCGGCGCCGAGGCGGAGGAGGAGGGAGGCACGAGGGGGAGGCAGAGCGAGGGTCCGGCTGGGGAGGACGGAGGAAGGGGGAGGGAGGAGGGAGAAGGGAGGAGGGAGGAGGGAGGAAGGGGGAGGGAGGAGGGAGGAGGGAGGAGGGAGGAGGGAGGAGCGGGGGAGGAAGGCGGAGGGAGGAGGGAGGAGGGAGGGAGGGAAAGAGGGAGGAGGTAGGGATGCGGAGGGAGGGAGGGAGGAGGGGGAGGGAGGGAGGGAGGGCGGCGGAGGAAGGAGGATTGGATTGTCCTCCAGAGGCTGGTCCGGTGGCTTCATGCGTGGCCACCTTTCCGTGGGGGGCGCCAGGTTCCAGGGGGGGGTGGCCGTGCGCGACCCCACGGCGACCAGGCTAGGGTCCGCCTTGGCATTGGGGGGGAGAGGACGGAGTGGTATGTCACCCACTGCTCCGTCCAACTCCGCCAGGTCCTCCGGTCGCCACAGGCTGGGCCAAAACCAGGCCGCAAGAATGGGAGCGGGCCAATCGCAGCGGGCCAGGAGTGCCCTCTGCGGTTGGAGCTCTTGCATGACCTTTCTACCGAGGCCCTGCCACTGCATGGCGCAGATGCAGTGGCGCGGCGTCGGAAGGAAGGGGGGGAGAGCCATTCCCATGGAGGGGGAGGGGTGGCCCTCCACCTGCGCCGCTGCGTGTCCAGCCTGGCTCTGCCCGGCCCTCCGGCTCTGGAGGGAGGGAGAGGAGGAAGGGCGCAGGCGAGGAAGACGTGCCGAGAAGAGGAAAGGATTGACGCCAGCCGCATGCACGGGGGGGGGAGGGGGG